CCCATTCCATGGAAGAAGACACTGTTCGCTCCTGCAAAGATTTACAATCTCAGAATCCCAAAGGAGGAGTTTTATTCTGCACTATAGAGTTGGTATGTATTGTGATTAGCACAGTAGTAGTGTGTTTGGGTCCCTTCATCCAGAGTGTCCCTGCCTTTCCTCAACTCAAACCTGCTGAGAAGTTAGAGAGCAAACTCATGAGGTTGTGTGTGGCTATTGTAGGTGCTCCAGATGTCCTCAGATGCCAGGAGCATGACTGCAGACCAGGGCTTGGTGTGGAACAGGCATAAGACAGAACTATTAGCCTCCCCAGAGAGCCTATAGGCAATATCGGCATGGGAATCTAGAAAACAGGAACCAAAGAACATGTTCATGTTCCATAGCCCAGAAAGGTGCAGGGCCTTCCCAAACAAGCGTCTCTTGAGAAAATGTCATCTTTTGTTCTAAGTCTAGTCACTTTACTCATCATTCATTCATTCATTTGCTGCTTCATACATTTCTTTTCCTATAGTGTCTTTAAGTAACTCTAGAAGAAAGTGTGTCTGTCCGCATCATGGGAACAGGAAGTTAGTGGTAAGGTCCCATATCTGGAGCAGCTCCAGGTGTGGTCAGAACCAGGACACCAGCTGAATGCATGCAGCCACACAAATCTCCTGTCAGCCTTGGGTGAGCTCAGTCCGGATCCACTGATTTGATTATCAGGGTTCAGTCCACTGGAGCATTAGGTGGAAGGAGTGGAGAGTGATGGCCAGAGAGCGGCCACTCCATCCTCTGGATGTCCTCTCTTGGGCACACACTCTCTGAAATCACTTTCCTCCCCCTTCTACAATAAAGGCAGCTACCACAGGGTACACAGCATCAGGACCCGCACGCTCTCTCTTCTAACCCAGACCCGTGACCCTGAGCTCAGAAAGGACAAGTGTCTGGAGGCAAGACATCCAGAAACCAAAGCCCAGCTCTCTCATTCATGTAAGGGACTCAGATGGGGACAGAGTGGGACCCTTCATTTTGTTTAGCTCATTTCAGCATGGACTTCTTTTTCATCTTATCTCTGTGTGTATGGATTTTCCTTGTGAATTAGGGCTTTCATAATGTGGAGATTTTATTTTCAGTCTATTCCTTGGCCACCTGAACCCAGTGATGGGATTTGGGTTTCAGAGGCCCAAGCCTCAGTGAGGCTGCAGGGGCAGGGAGAGAAGCTCAGGCTGGGTGGGGCTTGGGACCCCTGTGATATCCCTAGTCGGAGTGGAGAGACCTGGGCTGACATCCTGGAGTTGGGATCAAACACTGGCAGCTTCACTACACACATGATTACATTTAAACACACAGACAACCCCAGTTTCTCGGTCCACAGCCTGCACGGTCACAGGCTGGGGGTGGGGGGTGAAGCTGATGTACCACAGACTTGTCTGAGAGGTGCTGCTCGATGCCACAGACCAGTCTTCCCTGTCAGCAGACCCCTAGTAAGGCCACTGTCCCCAGGAATGTCCCCATTGATGAGGGAGGGAGATGGTTCATGGGTAAACAGGACGTGAGCACCCACATCAGTAACCACAGTGCTTCACAGCAATGCCAGACCAGCCAGCTTCCTGCTCTACCTGTCTGCAGCCCAGGTAAGGACAGCTCAGGTATGGCTGGCAGGTGAAGGTCTTTCACCTGGGCCCTAAAACGCAGAGCTCCCTATGTGTTCTGGATCCCAGAATGGGAAGCTGGGTGGGGGAAGCCTCATTGGGCCAAGCAGCACAAGAGGGCAAATTTGAACTTGGCCCATGTTACCTTGACCTCCGGACTCGGCCCCGTCCGACCCAACTATGACTCAGGCTCCACAGGGCGCTTCCTGGGGGGAGAATGAGGGACTGCCTCCTTCTAAGCCTAACTCTGCCACAGCCTAGCATGCTTCAATACGAGTCCTAGTCCACAGGGAACACGTACAGTTTGAAAAGATTCCGAAATATCTTTTCACCACTTACTGAAGACATTTTGAAATTGGTGGTTGGTGGTTATTTGCTGTGGAGTTGGTTCTGACTCGTAGCGACCCTGTATAGGGTTTCTGAAGCTCTAAATTTTTACAGGAGCAGAAAGCTTCATCTTTCTCCCACAAAACAGCTGGTAGTTTCGAACTGCTGACCTTGAGGTTAGCAGCCTGACTTACAACCACTACGTTGCTTCCAGGAAGTCGGAGTGCAGATGTCACCACAGATTTAGCTATTTAACCATTTAGTCTTCAACCATTCGATACTCAAGATGGTTCTCAGATTGTGTGGACCTAGGGGCACTCCACCTCCATCCTCCCACTTCTGAGGGAGGTCTTTGGGGAAACTTTGAGGCCATGACGCAGGGCAGGGAGGCCCAGTTGTTTCCTGGGGAGTAGAGGGTGCACTCCAGTGACTCCCCATTCCATGATGCTTCATTCTTGCTGTCTTTGCAACTGTTTGCCCACCTGACGCCTTCTGATGAAACTGCTGAGGGGCCACGGAAGTTGGGTTCATTCAGATGCCAGGGGAGGTGAGTGCTATGAGTGAGTGGGCCTCAGCAGAGGGTGGACTATGTGGCCTGTGTCTTGTGCCCACCGTGGTGTCACGAGGCAGAAGAGACATGGGGTGATCCCTCCCATACACATCTCTGAGAATGAGGGGGCCCATTTCCCAAGAAAGTGGCTCAGGTACAGGAGGGACCTCTGGGTTCCTCCAGGTGTCCAAGGAGAGGAATTGACACCTGGTACCAGCTGTTCTCATGTTTCTGTGTTGTCCTCAGGCCAGGTCCAACATGGACAAAGAAGTCATGGTTTTCTACAACCTTACTGGCCCTGGAGCTAACCAGCCTCCTGTTGGTGTGTTTATTATCGAAAGGAAGACAGGATGGTTGCTTGTGACCATGCCACTACGCAGAGAAACAATCCCCAACTAGAAACTTAAAAGAGAGAGGGAGAAGCAGGTGGAATAGTGAGTTCTGCCTGCCAGAACCAAGTGCCTCCCCCAGGGGACCCCCAAACAGCTTTGTTGGGTCAGTCAGAGGCAGTTAGTACTGGCTGACAAGGCACTGGGTGGCAGAAAAGAGGGAGAATGCATAATAGATAAACTATGAAAAGAATGTCATGTTTCTTTGAAATGCCATTTCCCTGTCCCTGCAGGAACCTCTGTGGTTTAGGTCACAGCCACCAACCTCGATGACCACCTGAACACCTTACAACGCAGCCATCGTTTACTCCCTCCTCAGCCAAGACCCTGCCCTGCCTCACTACATGCTCACCATCTGGCCAGGCAGAGCAAATGCCCGAACCATCAGAACAGACTTACACCAATCCGAATGGCGCTGACCAGTCAACCCGGTCTCTGTGAACAGCAGCCGTGGAACTCCAGGATGAATGTAAGTGAACAGAAATGTCACACACACACGCATGACTCCACTGAGAAGGACAGCGAGTCAGGGTCCCCTTCTGCAGAATGTGCTGTACCAACAGCCACGGAGTGCCAGGGCCACCCAGAATGGTGCTGGGCTGACAGGGACCAGGCAGATCCCAACCCAGACAGACACCCCTCGCTGGGAGCTGACCTCTGTGAATACCCGCTGATGACTACTGTAACTGAGGGCCCAGGCTGTGTCCACTGCCATGGACCAGTGGCCAAAACCTCCATTGATAAATCAGCACAAGCACCTGTGTACTTAGATCATAAAGCACAGCCGCACACAGCCTGACAGTCCAAGCAACCGACTTGCAAGGTTCTAGCCTGAGAACGACAGACAGGGTAGGGTGGTCATCACTGTCCACTCAGAAGTAAGTCCACAAGGTTCTATGCTTCCCCAGCACCTGAAATCACTGTGCATTTGCAGTGTTGTCATGCAGACAGTGGTCCTCAGTCCTGGACCTGTCAGAACAAGCAGGGGCCTTTACCACCACTGACCTCAACACAGAAGGGGTTGGCCATGTCCAAGGCAGTGAACTCCAGTGCAGAGCCTGGGCCTCAGGGAGAGGAGGGAGCTTTCAACTTGTCCAGGAGCTAGTTTGGTTACAGCTGGTGAAGAATAACCATAGTACCCAGGTTTAAGTTAGAGGAGCAAGCTATGTGTCCCCCTCATGAGGTGTGATAAGGACAGAGGGAGTTTGTTTTAAAGAAACAGTGAGTTTAGGGTGCTGCTGACTGGAAATCTAGGGTCCCAGGCTACACTTGGCTGGCACTCACTCATTCTTTTCTCTACCTCTATTTTCACCCACTCAACAAATGTTCTCCTAGGAGTCTCTGGGTGATGCAAACGACGAGCTTTCCTGCTAAACTAAAGGCTAGAAGTTCAAGTCCACCCAGAGATGCCTTGGAAAACAGATGGGGCAATCTAGTTCTGAAGATTCAGCCATTGATAAGTCTGCGGGATGAAGGTTCTACTCTGAAACATGTGGGGGTCACTGACATTTTTTCCGCGCTGTTAGAAGTGATGGGGCGGAGGGGGGAGGGGAAGTGAGGAGGGTCAGATAACCCAATAAGGAAGACATGGCCCAGAAAGCTCTGCTTCCTCAACAACCCGTGTTACAGATGAGGAAACTGAGTCAGGGCACAGTCCGGATACAAACCTTACCTGGTCCCCAGAGCTCCTGTCAAAATCCTAACCATCCCAGGGAAGAACAAAACATTAGTTAAGGGCTTCCTGGTGGGAGACCGACCCGTGTGCGCCACTCCCATCAGCCTAGGCCACCAACGCAAACCGCAGCCCTTCTGGACCCGCGAGCAGTCGACCATCCCCGGAGGGAAACAGGAGGTGGGACCGAAGTGGGGGCGGTCCGTCCGGCCGCGCCCCCGCCCCGCCGGCTTCGCGATTCCACTTCCGCTAGGGAGGAGCCGCCGCGCCAGGCGTAGGTGTGTAAGTACTGCTTTGCCCGGGCGCTCCGGGCACCCCTACCTCCACGACCCTCAGTAAGAGGTGGGACGGGGCGGGGGTTGGGCTCGGGGAGGGGCTGCTGGACCTGCCCAGTGGTCCGTCGGTGGCCGAGCAGGTGGACGCAGGCGACCATGAGCTCAGGGGCTGCCCCGCGGCTGCGGCGGCTCCAGGGACACCTGGAGGTAAGGGTACAGGTCTGAGTCCCGGGACGACTCTAGACCCACCGCGCCCACAGCTTTTTGTCTGGAGACCCAGTCAGAGGTGACCCGTTAAGGAACGAGTGGATTGGGATAGCAAGACCCAGCTGCAACCCCTCAATGCAGATGGAAGGAAGTGGGGGGGGGGGGGCATGGGGTGAACCTGGTTAGTGGGGGCACAGGAGACAGGACCGGTGTTGACAGAGGGCTGGGCACTGTTTGGAGAGGACTCTGCCCTGGGGACTGTTGGCTCAGTGGCCAGTAGGGACACAGGCCAGGAGTCAAACAAGCTGCCACCCTCTCTCTGGCCCAGGGCAGCAGCATGGAGCCCCACAGCAGCCCGCTGACCACACACGTGCTAGACACTGCCTCTGGGAAGCCAGCCCAGGGCCTCCACCTATGTCTCTACAGGCTGGAGGGCCCAGGCCAGCAGTGGATGGAGCTAAGGAAAAGGTAAGAAAGGGCGTGGGCAGGATGCCAATCCCAGAGCACATTCAGGAATGAGGCCTGATGGGTGAATGACAGCTCACAGAACTGGGGGTACCCCCAGAGTCCCAACCAGGGGCCACATTATACTAGAAACCCTGCAGTCTAGAAAGCCACACACAATGTGTGACGGGAAAGACACAGGTCGTAGAATAGCATGAATGACACATTTTTTTGTTAAAAAGTTTGTAAATAAATTCTTCCACTCATAGAAATATGGAAGAACGTAAACTATGTGACTCAGATCATGTTCTTTCTCTGTATTAGGCCTTTTCTAATATGAATACAAAAGTCCATACTGCATCTGGGATTCTCCCAGCCCAGGGCCATCTGCAGCCAGGTCGGGTTGAGGGTTAGAGGTGTAGACTTGTTAGAGCCTGATGGGGCTTCTCATCTACCCCCTCTGTCCTCTCCACAGCTACACAGATGCTGATGGCCGCTGCCCTGGGCTTCTGGAGCCAGGCCAGATGAATGGGGGCACCTACAAGCTGTCTTTCAACACCGAGGGTTACTGGAGAACGAGGGGGCAGGAGAGCTTCTACCCCTACGTGGAGGTGAGGGCCCTGACTCACTGTAGCCTGCCACATCTGTACAATGGGCCCACTCTCCTGAGCGTGGGGAGAGTGCAGCCACCTGCTTTGAGCTCGTAGAAGAAAGGCATCCATGGACCCGGGGCCTCATTCGGGTTTAAGAAGGAACACCTGTGCTGCGCCTGCCCCTGGGTCAGCGTTTGGAGGGAGCCGGGCTGCTGTTACTCAGGCCGTTTCTCAGCTCAGGTTGTCATCTGAGCTGCCTCTCCCTTCACTGGGAGAGCTTTTCCAAGTCATCTTCTAGGTCATTCATCCCAGGGGACCCCTCCCCCTCCTCCCATCAAACCAGCTCTCCTGGGGGCTGGGGATGAGCTGAGCCTCACTCCCTTGGTGGTTTCTACTTCCTCTCAGGTGGTCTTCACTGTCACCAATGACATGCAAAGGTTCCATGTGCCCCTGCTCCTGAGTCCATGGTCCTATACCACCTACCGAGGGAGCTAGAGCCTCAGGAAGAGGGGCTGCTGCGGAGTGGGTCCCGAGACTGCCTTACCCTACCCCACCTGAGGTTTCAGCAAGCATTAATAAAGTCAAGTTGGCACCTCCCGTTTCCCATTGGGGTAATGAATTGGAATTGAGGCGGGCAGGGCATGGGGGCACCACCAAGAAGCCAAGGGTGCTGAGGTTAGGAGGGCCACAGAGGCCAGGCAAGGAGATGCACAGACCAAGAGAAAAACTTTCATTTGCCAACAATACAAATCTAAAACACAAAAGCCCACCCACACAGGGGCCCTGGATGGTTACGTTGGGGTGGCCACCAGCCCAGCTGGGCCCTGGCCCAGCATCTGCCCAACAATAGCTGTCTCCAGGGGCCTAAAGCCAACATTGTCCAGGGGGATTCCAAAGGCCAGGAGCTTGGCCTCGTAAGTGCGCAGTAGGTCGTTGTGTGCCTGCAGGAAGAGCAGCAGTTAGGTCGGTCCTTGGCAGACCTGACTGCCCCACCCCCCGCCCCCAGTGCTGGGAGGTGGGGTAGCTGGGCTAGTCTAGGACACGGCTTTCCTAGCACAGGAGTTCTGGCCACGGGTCAAAGCACAACCAGTGACCAGGGCCAGGACATGGCACTGTGAGATGTTCCAGCACTATGGCTAGACCCCACTGTCCAGGGAACCCAGAACTTCACCCAGACCTTGTGAGAAATGACTTGTGGCTATGGCTAGACCCCACTGTCCGGGGAACCCAGAACTTCACCCAGGCCTTGTGAGAAATGACTTGTGGGTGCGGTCCATCATCAGGAATATAAAGGCTCATGAGATTGTTAGACCAGGCAGACAGATTGTTGATTTACATCCAGGGATATGTAAGAAGGATGAATTGGGGGAAGGGAGGAAAAAAATCTGTTCTAAGACTAGGAACTTGAACTAAATACAGTCATTAAGACCATGGGCTAGCCATTTGGGCTCCTCTGGGAGGAGAGAAAATGAGAGGTGCTGGTAGAATTGTGAATGGGGAACTCAAACTGGAGGAGGTGCTTTTTCAAGATGGGAATAAAACTGTTTGTGGGCTGGCCATGTGGTGCATCTGCCAGTGTCTACTGGGTTGAGCACCCAATTTTGCAAACTCGAATAAAGAAAACCTCAAGCTCACTAAATTGAGTACAGATTGCATGAGTTGAGCGTTTGTCGGTACAGACATTTCTCACAGCCCAAACCCCAAGAGCTAGCCGACATGGTGCAGAGCAGTAGCGCAGCCACTCTGGTGGTACTGACGTGGAAGCTCTTGGGGGTACCAGGGCTGAGGAACAAACAACTGTGGAGATGTGTGCATCGGAGGTCTGCTCCTAAATTGTGGCATGAGTCTGTGCCAATGTGATCTTGTGGGGGGAAAGGCAGGGAGACTAAGAAGGGTCTGTTCATACTCCTAAAGTCACTGCTGACATAGAAACCCAGGAATCATGCGGCTCCCTCGGAGCTGAGGGCACATGACCTGGGAGAAAGGTTATCCCCTGGGATGCTCCTCAGGGCGTTCCTGAGCCCCACCCCTGTCCATCCATGAAGTGTCCACACCTGACCCCACAGAGGCAGAGACACAGGAAGACCAAGGACTAGTGCATGTGAGGTCCAACTTAGGCTGAGCCTCAACTGGCACAGGGGCAGGAGGGATGCCAGTGTCTCTGACCCAGTGAAGGGACTGGTGGAGCTGCCCTCAGAGCCAAATCCTCTTCATTAAAGGGACGGGTCCCCGGGGCCCTTCTGAGCAGAGACGCTGCCTCGATGTGTTAAGGCTTGCGGGGAGGGGTGCACTCCGTACCTTGCACACTCGGGCCAGCTCATACTGAAGGTCCTTGATGGTGGTGTTCTTTGATTCCAGGACATCCTGAGGGGAAAGCAGATGTGGACATGGGTGGGCGGGCTAGAGATGCACAGACAGAGCCAGGTAGGTGCTGGACCTAGGTCAGCGTCTTACCTGTTCCCATTTCTCATTAAAGGGGAGCCGCAGTCTGTATCTCTGAAGCACTCTGCAGTGCTGGGGGTGGAGTGTGCAGAGCCCAAGGACATCTGTCCAATCTGGCCACCACATGGGGATTCTTAGTCAAGTGTGACTCAGCCCACCACAAGGGGCCAATGACCATTCTAAAACAGCATGACACAAAAAGAAAGACTCCCAAACCAAAAGCCGTAGAAAATTTTAAAAATTAAAATTAAAAAAGGAAAACTCAAGGTCAATGTCGACACTTAACTGCTCTCTGGAAGACAGATGGCAAAGATGGGAAACTGTGCGTGAATAACTATGACAACCTGCCGCGTGTTAAAAAGGAGTCCTGGTGGCCCCATGGGTTCAGTGCTAGTCTGTTAGGGTAGCTGTTCAAACCCACCAGCTGTTCTGAGACAAAGATGGGGCTCTCTGCACCTGTAAAGATTTACAATCTTGGAAACTCTTTAGGGTACTTCTATTCTGTCTTACAAGGTTGCTAGGAGACAGACTCAACTCGATGTCAGTGGTGGCGGTTTATGTGCTATGGAGTCACTTCCGACTCATAGCAATCCTGAATAGAGTTTCCGAGGCTGTAAATCTTTACGGGAGCAGAAAGCCTCATCTTTCTCCCACGAATGGCTGGTATTTTTCAACTGCTGACCCTCAAATTAGCAGTCCGACGTGTAATCACTACGCTACCAGAGCTGATGTCAGTGGTAGGTATGTTAAAAAACCATCTGACCCACATGGGGAACCCATGGGCGATGGGATTCATCCCTCAGCCGAGCAGGCCAGCTTTTTGGCGTGTCTTTCAAATACCCTTCAGAGGAGGTGGGTTCAAGACCACTCAGTCCTACAAGTGGGGAGAAACCTAACAAGTCCACCTCGGACACAGACGCCCTAGGAGGAGCATGAGGAGATGTGGGGATGGATGGAAGGCTCTTCACCAACCCCATAATGCTTTTAGGTTCTTTATTGTTGTTGTTGTCAGGTGCCATCAAGTCAGTTCCAACCCATAGAGACCCTGGATAGGGTTCCTGAGGCTGTAAATCTCTATGGGAGCAGAAAGCAACATCTTACTCCCATGGAGTGGTTGATAGATTCAAACCAATGACCACAGAATCAACAGCCCAAATCATAACCCAAAATTGACATTTATGAAACAAAAATGAGAAACAAAAAGCAGAGAAAAAACAAGGCAAGGACCCTACAGACGAAGTGTGGATCACACCGATGTGGGCCAGAACCCGGTGTGATTCCCCTTCGAGTTCTTAATGGCTTAACAGGCTCCGAACACTTTAACATTGTTTTTTTGCAAATCCAGAAGAGCCTAATGCTTTAATACTCACACTTGGCCTTTCATAAAACTGGTTTTCAACACAGGCTTTGCTTTGTAAACAAGTAAAATGGGTAAGCTTTGCATTCTGTGTTGGGGAACTGCCAGAGGACAGCGGGGCTCACCTCGAGCTTGCGGGACACAACGGTCAAGGCTGCAGGGTCCAGACTGGAGGTGGCCAGCACCTCGTTGAGCTGTGCCTCTTTCTGCTCCACAGCAGTGCTCAACGCCTGCAGCTTCCTCTCCAGAACAAGGTTCTTGAAGCCCGTCTTCTGCTGCACCTCCTGGATGGCAGCTGTGAACTTCTGGTACAGCTGGTCCCGCTCTTGCTGTACCTACGGGGGCCATGCTGTTGGCAAGGTAGGCAGCTCAGAGGACCCCAGAGCTCTCCCACACTTCAGGTTCAAGGCACTTCGGAAAGTACAACTGCAAATTCCTTATCATCCCCTAACTCTTTTTACTAAGGTACGTCTGACACAAGCCATGGTATTTCCAGTAGCCTCGTATGCATGTGAAAGTTGGACAGTGAATAAGAAAGGCTGCAGAAGAACTGATGCATGTGAGTTGTGGTGTTGGAGGAGAATATTGAAAAGTACCATAGACTGTTAGAAGAACAAATACGTCTGTGTTGGAAAAAGTGCAACCAGATGCTCCTTAGAAGAGAGGACGGCCAAACTTCGTCTCTCTAATTGGGGCATATTACCAGGAAGAACCAGTCCTTTGGAGACGGATATCATGTTTGGTAGAGTGGAGGGTCAGCGAAAAAGAGGAAGACCCCCAATGAGATGGACTGACATAGCAGCAGCAACAATGGACTCAAACGTCACAATTGTGGCTGGTGCAGGACCAGGCAGGGCTTCGTTCTGTCGTACACGGGATTCTATCGTACATGGGATTCTGTCGTACACGGAATTCTACTGTACACGGGATTCTGTCGTACACGGGATTCTATTGTACACGGGATTCTGTTGCACACAGGATTCTACTGTACACGGGATTCTGTCGCACACGGGATTCTGTTGTACACGGGATCCTGTCGTACACGGGATCCTGTCGTACACGGGATTCTGTCGTACACGGGATTCTACTGTACACGGGATTCTACTGTACACGGGATTCTGTCACACACGGGATTCTGTCACACACGGGATTCTGTCGCACACGGGATTCTGTAGCACACGGGATTCTGTCGTACACGGGATTCTGTCGTACACGGGATTCTATTGTACAGGAATCGATTGCACACATGATTGGTATGAGTCGGAACCATCTCGACAGCACCTAACAACATCCCCTTTACCCATTAACTGTTCATTGTGTGAAATTAACACTCATTGTGGAGATGCATCAAGTGAAACATGAGCACCAGTCACCCACTTCCCAGAGACCCCCATCATGAATGTTCTCTAACTGAAATCCGTGACATTGGCTGGCTCACTGGGAGAGCCCAAGGGGAGCTCCCAGGGGCAGCAGTGGCCCTTTCTGCTAAACAACGCATGACCACCACCACCAAACCTCTGGGAGCGTTCACAGGGGCCAGGGCCTGAGGAGAACTGCTCTCTCCTCACCCACCTTGAGGAACCGCTGCTCCAGCACCTCATGTTCCCACTGCAGGTCCTTCAACTCTTTCTCAGTGACTTTCAGACGAGCCTTTGTGCACTGGAGGAAAGGGGCAGAGATGACTATAAGAATTCACAGGCTCAAAAAAATGAACAAAATAAATTGTGATAAAGGAAAGGAGGGTAAATTGTTACAATCTGATGAACTTGACCTAGACTCATGGAGTTATAGTAACTCTAAACACCAACAGAGGGAAGGAGTCTTCACATCAAGTATCTGTACACAGAGTAGATAGGGATGGGCAACTCAGATACTCGCTACTTAAAATGAGGGGGCGAGAAAGGCACAAAGTGACTGGCTTACAAGGTTCCAAGGGGGAGCTTAGTTTAATAGTGTGTGGTGGAAGAAAAAGTCCCCACTGAATAGTTGTCATATTGTCTAGATGGGTCTGGTGAAAAGAGATGGGGATAAGATTCTTATGATTTAATAGTAACTGTTATCATGACTAATTATGACTGTCACGATTATAAAGATAAAAGTTTTGTGACAAAAATGGGGGAGTAGTTAATCTTACAGTCCAGAAACAAAGGACCCTAGGACCATCAAGGGATAAGAGCACAAGCAGAATACAAGACCTTATCCAGAGAAGCAGCGATACCAGAGATGGAGGCAGAAATGGGGACATGGAGAGAGGGAGCAGTTGAGGACTGTAGATTCATGGAAAGAGAGGGACTAAGAGCTGGTGGCCAGGAGGCAGACTTGCAGAATGTGCCCTTTGGTGATGTAAATTATTTTATCTGCCCTAGTGTTTTTTTTTAAAAAAGAACTAAAGTGAATAGAGAGAAATACTGTTAATTCATGGTACATGGAGGGGATTATAATCATTGTAATGAAACAAAGTATATGATTTGTTGAATGTAAAACAGATGATCTGCCCTGTAAACTTTCACTCAATCCACAATAAAAACCTTAAAAAAAAAAAAAAAAGAATTCACAGGCTCCTAGGAGACCTCAAAGCCCAAAAGCATCACCAGAAAGAAACTAGCCAGCCGGGGTCCACCAGCCGTATCCCCACCCACTCCCTGCCCGCCAACCACAAGCAGAAACCCACTGTCAAGATCTGCTTGTCATGCTCATAGTGCGTGAGCTTCCGCTGCATCTCGTTCATGTCCTCGCGCGCCCGCTGCAGCGGATCTGCCAGGCGCTTGTTCTGCATGGTCACCTCTGCCATCTCCTTCTCCAGATGCTCCTCCTTCTTCCGCATGTCCTCCATCTGCTCCTGTGGGTGGGAGGTGGGGGCTGCACTGTCAGTGGGGCCAACCTGGTGCACTAAGGGCCTAGATCCATTCTGTTTACTAAATTCAAAACAGTCTCAATTTAGTCTGATTTTTCCTAGGGTGCAGCTTCCAAGTACAATGACAGATAACACTTTGTACATGTCTGTGCTGACATGCCCATGAGGTATCTCCAGAGTGGCCAATGACACGGCCAGTGTTGGTCCACTGGTTCCTCCGCACAGACACAACCCAGTGTGGCCCGCCTAGGCATTTCCACATCAAAATGGATCTTATTTTATGCCTTTTAGAGTCCAGCTGGCAGAATGATTCTAATCACACCACCTATGAATTCCAACTCAGACCAGTGAGGGCACCCTGAGATGCTCCTACAGGGGCCTGGGCACCTTGAGCGAGTTGATGAGGGCCAGGTTGTTGAGAGTGATGTCATTGTAGTAGTTCTTGATGTCGGTGAAGGCCTCCTCATGCCGCTGCATCAGCATGTGGATCTGCCCGCTCTTCCTCTTCTCCACCTCGTGGATCTCTGTCTTTCTCCGCAGGTCCATCTCATCCCTCAATATCTTCATCTTCTTATCATACTTGGCCTCAATCTCTAAAAGGCAGAGGAAGCCCATGACCCCATCCGTGGTCAGAGTGTGAAGATACAGGCATGCACTGCTGGCTCACCTGAGTGAGCACTAACCAGGCCCACGTGGCCACCAGTCCGATCCCCAGGCTCTCCTGAACCAGGAGCCACACAGGGGAGCATTCTAACAACACTGCCATCCACTGCTGCGGCTGAGATGAGCCAAGAACCAGACAACCCCCCATGGCACCCCGCTCTTCCCGAGTTAATGGCTCTGGAGTCACACTTGCTTTCTGATGGGGCACGGTCTCTGGCACTGTAACATGGTCCAAATGTCACACAGAACTGACCTCGAACTTGCCTCTCAAAGTCGCTGCGCATCTTGGTGATGTCTTCAGTGTGTTTCTGCAAAAACAAGAGCAGAATTTGACCATCAGCCACACACAGAAGGCCTGGCCCGCTGGGCCAACCACAGTCCTTTCTAAGCCTGGCACTGCCTTGAGGTGGAATGGGTTGGGTCATCATGGAGGTGCAGAGATATCATCATGGTAACTCAATGTTGGCCTCGGCTAAGGGACCCTGAGCTCCAGCCAGTAGCTCTCAGTTATTGCTTCTAAATAACTCACAAAAGACTGTAAGTTTTTCTAGAGCAGTATTTTCCCTGCCTCCCACAAAGGCAATCTGACCATGCGGGAGGCAGGTTCAGGTCTTGGGAAGACTGGTCACCCCCTGGTACCATGCTGAGCTGCACACAGTCTGCAGAGGTGCTCTAGGGTAGGGTAACACGAGGCTGCTTCCAAATCCTGCTGACAGAGAACCCCTGAAAACCAATGTCAGACATGTTCCTCCTCTCACCAGCCCCTGAAGGATGCCCAGGTCATCGAGGGGAGTCCAGTCCTGACCATGAGTCTCCCTAGCCTCCCTATTCCAGTTTCCCAGGCTCCAGGCCAGTATCCCTAACCTGGTTCCCCCTCCAACCTCTTCCCAAATGTCACCTTCTCCACAAGGCAGCCCTGAACATCCTGCCTTCCTATATATGTCCCCCTCCTGACATCCGCCCCCTCCTGACCTGCTGTATATATGTCACTGTTTCTTCATCTTCTATGTTCCTTACGGTTTCCCGCCCCGCCGCCTCCCACCTCCCCTACATGTTGGCAGTTGTCAGCTCTGCCCATTCTTTCTCCACAGCCAGGACAGGCTCGGACTCCACACTCCTTGGGTTCTAGTCTCAGCTATGTTGGTTCCTGCTGCATGAAGAGGGGGTTACGGAAGACGCCTAAGAGGGCCTTCCTCAAGGGAAGTTTATCAGTATGTGGGTTACACAAAATTCTGTGTCTAAACCCAAAATGGCTGTATGGCACTAAAAAAAAAAGAAAAAAATCAATGAATTGCCAAGAAGTGGGCGTTCCCAGTTATGGGCGTTCCCAGCTGTGGGCGTTCCCAGCTGTGGGCGTTCCCAGCTGTGGGCGTTCCCAGCTGTGCCACACCTACCAGGCGCAGGCTCTTCACCACCACCTCATTGGCCAGCTCCTGCTCCTTGAGCTCCACCTTCAGTGCCCGCATGTCCTTGCGCAGCGCGCCCTCCTGCGAGCGGTGCTCCTTCTGGGCCAGCTTCATGATGACAGTGCCCTCCGCCTTCATCTCAGTCAGGTTGTTCTGGTGCTCATACAGTAGGTGCTTCACCTTCTGCTTGTAAACCTGCCAGGTGGGAGAGCACCATCAGTACAGCCCTGCACACACATCTGTGCACACATCTGTACACCCCCACACACCTATATAAACCTGCATACCTGTGCACACACCTTTGTATACCTATATACCTGCACAAAGGAGCTCTGGTAGCGTAGTGGTTACGAATCGGGCTGTGAACCGGAAGGTCAGCAGTTCAAAACTACCAGCTGCTCCACGGGAGAAAGATGAGGCGATCTGCTCCCGTAAAGATTTACAGCCTCGGAAACCCTATTCAGGGTCGCTATGGGTCGGAACCGACTCGATGGCACTTAACAACAACAACATACCTGCACACATGTGCACACTGCTCTACACCTGCATACTGACGTACACCTTTGCACTCACTAGCACACCTCTACATGCTCCTACACACAATTACATGCCCGTGCATATATCTGAACATACCTACACACACACCTACGCACTGTGTCTGGGTCAGAGCACATCTGGAGCACAGAAGAGGCAGCGAGCTGATGGGAGAAGCAAAGTCCCAGCTCACAAACTGTCAGTGGCCGAGCTGGGGTGCAAACATTCAGCACCTGCAGGGTCCAATCCTCTCTCTTGGCCTCTTAGCAAAGCACCTTCAGGCTCCCGTGTCACAAACACCCACGAGCTGGGATACAAGGAGGAGGAGAAGCCCCCCTCCCCCCCCCCACTGTAAGCCCACTCCTCCATTCCAGGGCGCCCACCTTGATCTCCACTTGGTGCCGTTCCTCCGCCTCCTCCATCTCCCGGTCCTTGGTGCGTAGTTCAGCTTTTTTCTCCTCCAGCTGCCTCCGTGTGATCTCCCAGAACGTGTGGATCTTATCCCGCTCCAACTGAAAGTAGTTGCGTTCCTCTCGCTCCCGGTCCAGCTCCTCTCGGATGCGGCCGATATGCTCCTCCACCTGGGGAGGCGGAGGGGGCGTGGTAGGCCAGGGTGGGGCGGCCACCACAGCAAAGAAACACGAGGGGCCACATCCACCCCAAAAAAAATCCAAGCTAAAAGTAACAACAATGAAGCAAGTGCTGGGAAGGGCCCAGGATACACTGGCAAATGGCAGAATTCTCTTTTATTTGGCCAATAATCATAAAACGGATTCTAGTACATCCATTTGTTAGCTTTCGAATCAGAGGTAGTAGCCGCAGTTATTACACACACAAAAAATTACCTAAAACAATTGACAAATATAGAAATGATTGGAAAGTTGAGTAGATCAACTAGAAGAATCACATGGTACAAGATACTAAAAGTTAGTGAAAAATGGAATTAAATGACACACTTATAAAGGCCATTTCCTCAGAGAATGCTCAAAACTAAAAAAAGAAATAGTGCAATTTTTCCACCAACTTTTTGAAGCCCCTATACAAAGACATTAAAAAGGTGTAGTTAGTCCTGGTGTGGCGCTGCACGTTAATGCACTGGCCTGAAAGGTCGGTTTGATTCAAACTCAACATCTGCTCCTCAGAAACCCTATACAGGGTCGCTAAGAATTGGAACCGACTCAACAGCACTTAACAACAACAAATGTACTCCAAATGATAAGCATACAAAAAACCCTAAAATTTAAATTTATACACAAAAATAAAGATCTTTTGAGTAATATCAACATAAAGAGACCATCCTAGGATCGGGCAGTGTTTCGTTCTGCTGTGCATAAGGTTGCTATGGGTTGGTATCGACTTGACGGCACCAAACAACAATTCTAACCCTCCCCAACAAACACAAGGAACCAGTGCTCACTCAGCTTGGAAGGACTCTGAATCAGGGAGCAGAAGAGAGAACTGTCAGAAATCAACAAATTAACCTGTCACTTAGGAAAATCATTTCTCCTGCCATCCCTGCCCTTCCCCCCCAAGCCTTGTAGGCCACAAGTTGCTGTAAACTGGAGAAGTGGCTAAAAAAAAAAAAAAAAAGCCAGTTTCCCGAACCACCACAGCCCCTGCATGCATAAAGTGACCGGACCCCAAATTTCTGCTCTACAATCAACAAAGCAGATCTCTCCAGGGGTCTACCTGGAGTCAGCTGCAAGCCTGCTGCACTTAGCTACAGAAGGTCCATGCAGTTGAGTTGGCTCTCAGAGTCAACACAGTACCTGCCTCACGGCACACCCAATAGCTCAGGGCTCTAAAGCCACCAGGAAGCCCTCAGAGGGAGTCAGTTCTGGGCTATCTGTTTCTCCTGAGGACTGCTGACTGAGACTGCTGTGTGCTTAGGGACAGTTGCCTTAAGCACAGGCTACAAGCACAGACAACATACTTCAGAGGAAGAGTCTGATAGCAGTAAGACAGATACCTCAAAGGAACTCATCTGAAATGGAGGAAGGCTGCCTGCATTGCCTCCAAATGCCAGCTCAGGTACAAGCAGTCCCACAGACTAGGGACGGAAACCTTGGGCAACACAAGAGCACAGCCCCCAAAAGACGTCACTGGGTATAGGTTTTCCCACTAAAACGGTGGTCTCACAATCAAAGGAGGGGAGAAGGACTAACCAGTGAGGGGGAGGGCACTGTACACCCTATAGACTGACTGATTAGTACATGATCTCACCTGAGGGGCAGCGCTCAGTGTGGACATACAGATCACACAGCATTTTCTATGCTATGTTAGGAGAAAACTGAAAGTTGAAACTGAGATCTGGAAGTTCTGAATCCTAGTTAAACCAGGAGGTAGAAGGAGCTACCACAGAAAGGGAGAGGCAATGGTAAGCAAAGGCCAAAGGCTCTGACTGCATGAGCATTCTTGCTGAAAGTAGTGTAGGCAACAAACCAAACACTGAGGAAATCAGCACCCTCTAAAATTCCAGGGCCCTAACAAAAAAATCTCCAAACACACAAAGAACAGAGAAACAATGGCCTATCAAAATAAACACGACAAAGGGATTGGAAGCATATCTAGGAATGATCAGATAACTTAAAAATGGAAAAATATAATAAAGCAATATTAAGCACAATTAAAGAACTAAGGAAAAAAATAGGCAAAGAGATCAAAGAAATAAGAAAAGCAACGTAAGAGCAAAATTTCCATCTACAAAATGCAATATTACAATTGACAGGGTAATAAGTAAAATAAGATATACACGAGAAAGCCTAACCAGGAGAGTTACCTGGGCAGGAGAGAGAATCAGCAAATTAGAGAATTGCTGTTGTTGGTAGGTGGTTCTGACTCACAGCAAGCAGCTGACCTTGCAGTTCACACTGACCTTTCCAGCACATTAACCCACAACACCACACCAAGGTAGTTAAAATTACTTATGCTAAAGAGTAACAAAAACAGAGACTCAAGAAGGCTGAGCAGTTTAATAAAATTATGGGACAAGAACCCTAATATTTGCACCATGGGAATTCCAGAAGGAGATGAAAGTGAGAAAGGGACAGAAAGATGTGAAGAAATAATAACAGAATATGATCAAAATATAACAAAGAACATGAATCTAGAAATTAAACAAGCCCAAAGAATCCCAAGTAGGATAAACCCAAATAGATCTACACCAAGACACATCATAGTGAGACTCCACCATTTAACAGAGAATCCGGAAAGACATGAGAGAGAAGCATACAGTCACCTACTAAGGATTCCTAATCAGACAAACGGCCAAGTTTTCCTCATAAACACTGGAGGCCAGAAAGCAATGGAATGAGACATTCAAAGTACTGAAAGATAAAACTGTCCACGAAGAACACTATACCTAGCAAAATCATCCTTTAAGAATGAGGGTGTAATTAAAACATTCCCAGATACGCAGAAACCAAGAGGGTTCATACCTGCCAGACCAGCCCAACAAAGAAATATTAATGAGAGAGCTATAGATGGAAGGGAAAAACACTACAAATTAATTCACAGCTATACATAAAAAGGAGTCCTGGTGTGACGCTGAAAGATTAGCACTGGCCTGCTAACCACAAGGTTGATAGTTCAAACCCACCAGCTGCTCCTTGGAACCAATATACAGGGTCGCTATGAGTCAGAATTGACCCAACAGCACTTCACAAGAACATACATAAAAAGAAAGAGCCTAGATAAAGGGAATGCATAGATAGACAAGCATGTTGGTGGTGCTGCTGATTCCAACTCACAGCGACCCGACGGTTCAGAGCAACCTTGTGGTCCAGTGCTTACCCTACAGTGACACACTAGGGTTAGTGATAATGCATATGTGTTTCATAACACTAAATGTTTTCTCCTTCAAGTTTCTTACTAATAATATAAAAAGCAAGGATAAAACTATATTACAGAGCAAAAGAATATAAAGATGTATATAATAATAACATTAAAAGGAAGGAAGAACAGTGTAGATAGGAACTTTCTGGTATGTTACTGAACTTAAGTTGGTACCAACTTACACTTACATGTTATAAATACAGCTCTTAAGGGTAATATCCATGGGAATCACTAAGAAAATATATTGAAAACATACACAAAAGGAATGGAGAGGACACCAAAAAGGCTCAATAAACCAATAAGACACAAAAGTAAGAAGTACTAAAGGACAAACAGGGCTTAAGACACACAGACACACACAAAAAAATAAATTGGCAGAAGAAACTCACTTCTCATCAGTAATTACAGTAAATGTTCTAATCAAAAGACAGAGAATGCCAGAATGGATTTCACCAACATGATGCAACTATATGCTGTTTACAAGAGACACACCTTAAGCCAAATGACACAAATAAGCTGAAAGATACAAGGTGAGAAAAAAATATTTCATGCAGAATATGGTGGATGAGACAGATGTACTACATGGACCCTCTACAACCGAGGTACAAGAAACCAAATGAAACAAACACAGAGGAAAATCCTGGAACCTTGAACTTCAGAAGAAAGGTTAGAATAATGGATTGTGCTTGCTGGGAAGAGAAGCTGAGCAGGGACAGTGAGAGACAGAGACTAACTGGTGAATGGCCAGCCAGACACCATGTGACCATCTTGATCTTTTGTGAGAAGTTTTGACAACAGAAGGTGGTCTGGCAGAGCAGATTCACACAGGTGATGAGAACGGTGTGATTCTGGTTTTTTCCACACACTCCCCTGGTGACCAGAGGTGTGACCAGCTCCCACCCTCATCCACCAACACCACCCCACACACACACATGCAGTTCCTGCTCTTCGGGACTTCAGAGCCACATGGCTGAAAGCCAGCGTAAGATGGGGCCAGCTACCCAGCTTAGGTGCCTGAAATCAGGAGGAAAACTCAGCTCCAGACCTACAGAACTCGCAAAATCACTAGACCAGCATTTATCGAGACACCCTGGCCCCAGCTGCCTGGGGGTCCTACTAGACACGGAAACCAGCTACATTAAGGGCCTCAACAAACTTCCATGAACATAGATAACACGGAACCTCATAGGGAATCCACTGTCACTTCCCTCCTACAGCCATCTCATGAGCTCCTTGGCTTGTAGGAGCACCCCATAGTTTCCCCTCTGCAGGTCCAACAGTTGTACTGGTTTGGTTTGGTTTGGTTTAGGGGTTTCTTTTTTTCCTCTTGTTGTTTCATTGTTTTTATTTATTATTTCTTCTCCTTGTTCTCTTTCCATTTCCTTGAATTTTATCCTATCTCCACTTTTGTTTTTCCTTCATTTCTTCTGTTTCTCATTTCCCCTCTTGCTTTGTCCCCTTTTTCTGATCTTTCTTTACTACTTTCTTTCTCTTATCATCTTCCCTCTCCCTGGTTTTTCTAAGTGGTTTTTTTTTTTTTTTTTTCATTCTTTTTATTTTTTCTCTTATTTTTCTCTTCTAAAGTTCAATTTTCCTATGCCACTTTTCTCTTTTTAGTTATATTATTTTTTTCTGTTTGCTACCTGTTTTTGTTTTTTCTTCTTTATTACTGTCTATTTTCATTGTTGGTTGACTGTTTGTTTATTCTGTTTTGTTTTCTTATGTGTTCCCACCTGAAAGGAAACAG